TCGCTGAGGCCAGAGCTCCGAGCTGATCAGCGTAGGGCCTTCCAGAAGGCCGGGCGGAGCCAGCCCCCGCCTCGCCTTCCTCACGCCTCGGTCTGCCCCCAGTCAACACCATGTGCCCCGAGGCCGGGCTCTTCGTGGACCCCAAGATGCAGCCGCCTTCCGAGAGCCAGGTGACCTACCTGCGGCAGATCGTGACGGCCGGCCTGGGTGACCACCTGGCCCGCAGGGTCCAGAGTGAGGACCTGCTGGACGACAAGTGGAAGAACGCCTACAAGGTTGGACGCTGGCTCGGGGATGGGCAGCAGGGCAGTCGCTGCGCCCGGGCCCCCCGCCCTCCCTGCCCTCCGTCTCACGTCCTGGCAACCGGGGCACTCCAGACGCCCAGCTCTGGGCAACGTCAGGACGCCTGTGAGGGGCAGCCGGAGGCACCCTTGGGTGTGGGTGGGCCTATCCTCCCGGGTCACGGGTCCCGCCGCCTCTGGGAAGGCCCCACCCAGGGCCAAGGTGGGGTGACGGTGCAGCCGCTTCTCCCTTGGGCGTGAGCTTCACCCCAACTTCACTGAATGGAGATGGAAGCACACCTCATACAACTGGCCGCTGTAAAGTGTACAATTCAGGGGGTTTTAGTCCATTCAGAGTTGTGCGCCCAGCACCACAAGTAATTTCAGAACGTGTTTATGATCCCAGAAGGCTCCGGATGGCCATTGTGGCCACTCCCCATTGCCTCTGGGTCTCCCCACCCCGCGAATCTGTCCTCTGTCTCTACGGATTTGCTGTTCTACGCGTTTCACACGAGTGGGATCCTCCACCGCGTGGCCTCTTGCACTGGCTTCCTTCGCTCAGTGCTGTGCTTTTTGGCGGGTCGCGCTGCTGCCCGTGTCAGTACCTCTCACGGCAGGGTATGCGCTCCGTCGGCGGACACACGCCGCCAGGGTGGCCGTTCGTCGGTTGACGGATGCTCTCCTTTCCTGGCTGAGGGTGTAACTGGATTCAGGGGGTCAGCCTCACCTGGCGCTCACGCATGCCCCAGACTCACGCCCACCCGCCGTCTCTCTCGCAGACCCCCCTCCTCGACGACCCAGTCTTCATCCACCCCAGTTCCGTGCTCTTCAGGGAGCTCCCCGAGTTTGTGGTCTACCAGGAAATTGTGGAGACCACCAAGATGTACATGAAAGGTAGCGCAGCTGGCCAGCCCCTCGCCTGACCCGCGTGGCTCTGGTGAGCCGTGCCGCTGGGCCCTTGAGGGGAGAACCCACGAGCCTTCGCCGAGCCCCCAGCCCTTCTTTCCGGGCCCCCAGGCGTCTCGACGGTGGAGGTGCAGTGGATCCCGGTGCTGCTGCCGTCTTACTGCCAGTTTGACAAGCCCCTTGAGGAGCCGCCCCCCGCCTACTGCCCCGAGAAGGGGCGGGTGCTGTGTCACCGGGCCAGCGTGTTCTGTGAGTCGGCATGACTTCCCGGCGGCCTTGGGCTCCACTGGACACGTGGTCCCGCCTCCCGCGTGCCCTGGGCGGTGTGTGTGTCCTGCGCCGTGTCATCCCAGGCTGCGGGCCCCCTTGGCAGGCGGGAAGGGGGCTGGCAGGGGAGGATGGCGTGGGGCTCCATCGTGGCCCCTGCTCACTGGCTCACGCGCCCCAGGTCGCGTCGGCTGGCCGCTCCCCGCGGTCCAGGTGGATTTTCCGGAAGGCCTCGACTGCTACAAGCACTTTGCCCAGGTTCTGCTGGAGGGGCAGGTAGGCGACAGCTCCCTCGGTCCCTTCCTTGGCACCTCGGGTGGGACGTGAGCCCCAGATCTCTCACCCCATCCTGTGGTCTCTCCCCAGGTCTTCCACAAGCTGGCCTCGTACAAGGGCTGTTTGCTGTCCAGCCCCAGCACGATGCTGAAGACGTGGGCCAGGTACAGTCTCTCCCGAGGGCGTCGGCTCGGCAGGTGGTGGTGGAGGGAGCTGAGACTAGTGTCCTGGGGCCGCCGTAACAGATCCCCAGCCACTGAGGGCCTTAGGACGACAGGAGTCTCTTCTCTCGTGGCACTCCCGGGGACTCGGGGTGAGGCTGTGGGTCCAGGAGCCCCTGCCAGCCAAGTTCTCCAGCCAGCACTTGGTTCTGAGCATCCGCTCTCTGCCAAGCACATCCTCGTGTTAGGGTCGAGCCATGACCCTGTCCCGTGGCACGTCCCAGGGCAGGGAGGTTCTCCCCAAACAGAACTAATACAAGTGGCAGGGGTGGCACAGCTACGAAGGGTCAAAGCAGGATGTGGAGGTGAGGCGGCGGGCGGGCGGACTCAGTCAGGAAAGGCTGACGGAGCAGCGTCAGGGGAGGCAGGGCTGCGAGCCGGGCGGGAGTCTGGAGGAAGGTTCCAGATGGACAGGCACCGTGTGTGGGAGCAGCCTGGGCGGGCGGGTCAGAGGCAAGTGGTGGGAGGCGATGGAGTCTGGATCCTTCCATCCGGCCAGCACCCCCGGCCTGCTGGAGGGAAGGGGACTTCCTGCAGTTCCTGGGCAGGCCTGGCAGTGGTACCAGCGTGTGGGCCTCGTGACGCCCCACGTCCTGCCTCCCCACCCGCAGGCTGCAGCCCAGGACAGAGAGCCTCCTGAGAGCCCTTGTTGCTGAGAAAGCCGACTGCCGAGACGCCTTGCTGGCTGCTTGGAGGAAGAACCCCAAATGTGAGTCTGACCAGGAAGGGTGCCCCGTGGCGAGGGCATCGCGGGGGGGACAGGGTGGGGCCACCGAGGGAACCCAGGCTTAGCAGGAGGGTGTGCCCTGCGGCAGGCGGGTGGGCACAGAGCTGCTCTGACCGTCCTCCCTCCCACCCCTGCAGACCTGCTGGCCGAGTACTGTGAGTGGATCCCGCAGGCCGTGCACGCCAACGTCGAGAAAGCCTGGCCGCCCACTGCTGACTGCTGACCTGGTGCCGGCCTGCAGGGCCGAGGACTAGCCTGCGGACCCAGGGGCCTGGCAGTGGCCGGTGTCCGCCATGGGCACCCTGACCCCAGACTGCGCCCAGCAGGCAGGTGGAGCCCCTGGACACCCGTGGTCGTCTTGGCTCGGTTCTCGGCCCAGCTCGCTGCCGCCCTGGGCAGTCCCGCGCGGGGTGGCTTTTGTAACTCTTTATTACAGGGTGGGTCATGGTTTCATCTCCCATGCTGGTCCTGCTTTAAACGTGCTCTGTGGACGACATTAGTCCCTTGTAGAGCAGCAGGCGATCACGGGCCCTTCCTCCGCTCCCTGTTCCCTGCGGGTGTGGTGCACCCTGCCCACAGCCAGCGAGGTCCGCCAGGGCTCCCGCCGGCTCCTGTGGAGTGGGCGTCCCCTCCCCGGAGTCAGCTCCCCGCTGGCTACGTTGCTGTAATAAACCTTGACTGTGACAACAGGTGTATACCGCGTCTCCTGAGTTCTTTGGGCCAACCCCTGAACATGGGGGTGGCCCGGGGACAGCCTGCACGTGCGCGTACACACACGTACGTGGAGACTAGTTTGGACGGATGCTCATGAGCGTGTTAGTGGTAATCCTGTGGCACGGTGAGCCTGTAGACGTTGATCATTTTTCTCATTTTTACCTAGGTATTTTTCCTGAATCAGTTTGTGTTAATATCAACACATAAATCCGCAATTTCCTGGTGGTCCGCTGCAGGGGACACGGGTTCGATCCCTGGTTGGGGAACTAAGTTCCTGCAAGCCGCGCAGCACAGCCAGAAAAGTAAAAAATAAACACAAATTCTGTAATATAAACACACACGTAAGACAAAACAACAGAGATACGTGTTTAATATTCCAAAACTATTCACTTTCTCCACAGCCTAGCTACTAACCCTACTGTTCCCCCAAACTAGGCGGTCTCCCCTACCCCACTCCCCCCGCGTTTAAGCCATCTGCAAGGTCTTGTTAGTCCACGTCCGGGATGTGTGCAGAAGCCCCTCGTGTTCCCCACTTCCCCTGCTGTGCGCTTCCAGCGAGCCTCCAGCAGCTGCCGCTTGGGCCACGGCAGGGGCTTCCTGGCGGGTCTCATGTCCACTCTTCCCGCCTATGGTGGACTCCACATGGCAGCCAGAGGGAGCTGTTTTAAAACCTAAGTAAATCACGTCATTCCCCTGCAACAGACCTTCCAGTGTCTTGAAAGATTCAACCCTCTCCTTCCCTCATTCATTAACCCTGCACAGGGCTTTTTTCTGTCCCCTCAATGCAGATTCCTCCCCCTACCCCGCTTCAACCTCAGGGCCTTTGCACCTGCCATTTCCCCTTTCTGCAGACAGGCCCCCCTGACACTTTATCTGCAGCAGCCTCCACGTCCTCCCCCTTTAGTCTCCATCTCATCACAATTACCGTATTCATAAAGCTCATTGCTACGTGCTTATTGCTAGTTACCTAGACTGGAATACTGAGGACAGGAGGGCTGAGAAACCTTGCCCGGGGTATCCAGGGATACAAGGGTACTTGACGCTACCTGAGCACACAGTAGGCGCTCGATGTGTCCACATTTCTTGGCACTAGGTGCTCAGGAGTTACGGAATGAATGGACAGTTGCAAAACCCTCCTTAAAAATCCAGTGTTTCCTAACTGCTTGATGACGTGAGTCACTAGGAGTGTTTGTTTAAAAACGCAGCCCACTGCTGACCTGAATCCGAATCTCCAGGGGAGAGGACACGGGCCTCTGTGATTGAGACCAAGGGCGTTTGACTAGCGCCGCCCTCTCCAACGGAGCTCCCTTAAGCCAGCTGATGCGGGGGCTTTGGGTCTCCTTCCCTGCTTTGCCTTCTGGTCGTGTGGCTGTGATCCAGAGGGGGAAAAAATTAATTCTAGGCGAAAAACATGGAGATGCCGGGGATTGAACCCGGGGCCTCATACATGCAAAGCATGCGCTCTACCACTGAGCTACATCCCCAGACCCGTGGAACCGTCTGCTGGAAGTGAGGATATAGGAAGTAGCGACTTCGCTCCTCCACGTCTCTTCCGTTCTGGTGGCTCAGCGCCTTCAGAGACGCAAGTAAGTCTTTCCCGTCCCAGGAAGCCCACCAACCAGGGGCGCGCGGCACTGCGCCCGTGGAGACCAGTGTTCGGAGTAGATGGGTGTAGCAGCCGAAGAATGGTGTTTCTTTATGGGTTTGGCGGGAGAACACCTATCGCGGCTCGTCCTCGTTAGTATAGTGGTGAGTATCCCCGCCTGTCACGCGGGAGACCGGGGTTCGATTCCCCGACGGGGAGGCTGCGTGATTGTTTTAACTCACTCCAACACACACACAAGATATTTGGGGCATCTTCTCCAAAATGATACGACTATGATAGACAGATATGCGTGGAAGCGTGTAAATTTGGTTTTCGGAATATGTCCATTTCCTCAAGAAGAGAGTGGAGGATGCTGTATACTCAGCCACGAGCACTATAGGCTCCCTTCTGTGTAAGAATAAATATACGTAGTGAGTATATTCGTATTTATGACCGGATTACAGCAACAACTAGAGCGAACTAGCTCCCATCATGCACCAGGCAGTATTCGTAAGCGCTTTACAGGTGTGCACCCACAATAAGCCTCGGAGGGGCTATTTTATCACATCAGACAGATGAAATGCAGGCACAGAGCGTGGATCCAGTAACTTGTCCGAGGTCACATGAATCAGTCTGGTCTAGACCCTGGTTACTTCCGGGCAGAAGGACTGGGATAAGGTGGGAGTGACTCTGCCTTTCCGTTCGGTAGTTTTCTGGACTGTTTGAATTTTATTTTATTTTATTTTCGCTCTCCTTCCCTTCCTTCCTTCATTTCTTCCTTACTCGATTTTTATCACATTGGTACACTTAGTTTTTCAAGAACTACTGCGCTTTTGTGAAAAGCAGCAGTAGGGTCCCCTGCTGTATTGCTCCTGAAGGAATTTAGGACATCCCGTTTTGGTGTACTGTTTCTTTTGAGCTGTCAGTACCTCACTGGTCTCCTTGCTGCCACTTGAGCCCCTCCTGTCCATTCTCCACACAGCAGTCAAGGGAGACTTTAAGAGGTAAATCATATCACTCACTCCCCAGCAGCTTTCCAACACAAGAGAAAGTACAAACCCTTCACCGTGGCTTTCAAGGCCGGCACGATCTGGTCTCTGCCCACCTCTTTGTCCTCGCCTCCTATCTTCTGTCCCCTCACCCTCTTCACCGCTTCCATGCTGACTTTCTTTCCATTCATATAACTAGCCGGACTCTGTTTCAGCCTCAGGGCCTTTGCATCAGCTGTTGCCTCTGTTCCAGAGGCTCTTCCCCCCGCGGGCTCTTCATTCTCCAAGTCTTCTCAGCACTCTCTCCTTCTCTTACTGCCCCATCCCAGGTGTTCCATCCCATCACTACCATTTATTTTGCTTCTTAGCATTGCTATTAAGACGAACTATTTTGTTACTGTATTTGTGACTGGGTTACAGGGTCATTAGGTGCTTAGCAAACGCTTATTAAATGACTTCACATCATGAAGGACGTCCACGCTTGTTCATCCTGTCCCAGACAACACTCCCCAGCCACCCATCTCCCAAAGGGCAGGGAAGCAGAGAGAGCCAACCTGGATGCCGACCTGTTGATTTCCTCATGCCTTGAAGCTGAGCAGTTGCCACAGGTGGGGTGGCCATGCTTGGAGGCCGGATCTCAGTCACTGCCCCAAGGAAAGCCCATACGGCCTCCCACATGCCCTGGCGTGGTCAGCATCCCTACCGTGCCTTGGGCTGCTCGGTGAGCTGCACCCAAGGGGAGACCTTGTTCAGTTGCACAGAGAAGGGAGCCTGAGAAAGCGGAGCTCTGAGCCAGGTAAGCTTCGTTCTTTCCTTAATTCAGCAAATATTTTTAAGCACCTATTAGGTGCCAGGCACTGTTGTCGGCCTTAAGCGATACAGCAGTGACAGAGGCTGATGAGTTCCCTGCCCGTCGTGGGTCTGTCATTCTAGCCGGGGGGGACAGATAATGGACAAGGAAAACAATACCTAAGCTAACAGTAAACAATAAAGGGCTGGGGTCGCGTAGGGAGGCGTGATCAGGGAAGGCTTCTCGGAGGCGGTGGCTTTGAAGGACGAGAAGGGGCGGGTACGGGCGAGCCTGGCAGGCATGCGTTCCCGCCGACCCTGGTTCCTCAGCAGCGGATCCCCAGATCGAGGACCCAGGGCCATTAGACGACGAGGAGGCCAGAAGCGGAGGTTAGCGGCAACAGTAGCCGAAATAGCTCAGTTGGGAGAGCGTTAGACTGAAGATCTAAAGGTCCCTGGTTCGATCCCGGGTTTCGGCAACTTAGTTTTTCTTCCCATGTGTCGGGGGAAAACAAAAAAGACAAAATGATTCTTTCAAGTGAATAAAGGGGTTTCATTTTCTTTGTTTAAAACATCTCCGAGCAGTATCGAAGGGAAGCCAGAGGGTATGGGAACCTCTTTACAACTCCCCAACTGGAAAAATCCGACAAGACCAAGAGTTCCTTAACTCCGTTTCTTTCACTTCATAGGCATTTAACCTCTGTTAGATGTCTGTTAGTTAATTTTTGCTGTTTATTAATTTTTGCTCTCTGAACCCTCACGGCTAAATCATGGACCAGGGAGGAAAAGTATTCTTTAAGATGGAATTAAATAAAGTGGGATTTTCCCTTCTTTTGTTTTGTAGGAAAAGATGAAATATTTAACCTTTTGGAACATGTGACTATTTAGGGAACGCTGAATGTACCTTTAAGAGGAGAGCCGAAAGGCGATTTACAGAGCTCGTCCTCGTTAGTATAGTGGTGAGTATCCCCGCCTGTCACGCGGGAGACCGGGGTTCGATTCCCCGACGGGGAGACGCGACCTCTTTTCGAGCTGTAGTACATTTTCTCATTTCTCTTCCAAACAAATAACTTTCATAAAAATTCATTATTCTTTGAAAGAATCAACCTGGCAGGCAAGCGAGGTTTGCACCGGCGGTTGTCTATCATCCGCTTGGTCTTAGTCACGGACGAGCGTCCTCCCGTCACATGGTTACAAGAAAGAAAAAAGGCAAAGTTCTCACGTTGAAGTGGAATTTTCCACTTTCTGCATGCCACAGCGCCGCTGTCAAGTGTTTGATTTATATAATGATCTCCCAGAATAAAACTGTCAACTCCTAAGGCCAGGAAATGCTCATTCGGCTGCAAATTTTTTTTTTTTTTTTTTGCAGCAAATATTTCGTCTTCTTATGTCTTGCACTGGCCCAGAGATTGGCCCTCAGAAAATGTCTATGGATTTGAGACAGGAGGTAGGGTGAGTCTAAACTGGACGGTTTTTTTGTCTTACTTCAGTTGCAGACTCAGCTTCCTGAACATGCCTATATCACCCTTCCCAGGCTCCTAGTCTTCATTCATTTATTTGTCTGTTCATTTATTTTTTTTCACATTAATTCCATACATATTTACTGAGTACTTATTATGCGCCAGGCACTGTTCAAGGCTCAGGGGATAGAGCAGGAAACAAAACAGGCAAGGCTCTGCCGTACTGAGCTTAGGACCAAGGCATGGACACAGACAATCAGCAAATTGTATAAAAACAGGTTCTGAGAGTGATAAATGCTATGGAGAAAAAACAAATCGAAGTGATGCAATAGCGAATGCATGGGATTCACAGGTCCCTTCTTTTTTTTTTTTTTTTACTTTTTTTTACATTAAAAAAAAGTCTTGGCCACACCGTGCAGCATGCAGGATCTTATTTCCCCGACCAGGGACCAAACCCTCAGCCCCTGCAGTAGAAGGGCAGAGTCTTAACCACTGGACCGCCAGGGACGGCCCCATAGGTCCCTTTAGAGAGGTGGCCAGGAAGGCCTTCCTGAGGACCCCGCCAATGAAAAGAAGCCAACCATGAGGAGATCTGGGGAACAGCTTTCCAGACAGCGGGAATGGCAAGTGCAAAGGCCCTGAGGTGCATAGCAGCCTGGTCGCCTGAGGAACAGCGAGGAGGCAGGTGTGGCTAGAGCGCCCATAGAGAGGAGCAGGAGCGTAAGGGAGGGACGTTATGGGGGTCAACAGAGGCCAGATCACCGAGGGCCTTAAAGGCCAGAGTTAGGAGCATGGATTTGATTCTAAGTTTTACACAGAAAGCAAACATAATCGGGTTTGTTTGGAGCAATCAGGGGCACCTGCTGAACTGACTACAAGCCCTCAGCTCGCTCCCGAACCACGTCCAAAATACCACCACTTATGTTGCCGTCCTTCTTCCATTCTGTGGCTAAGGTCGCTTGCTCTCATGGCTGCCCTCTGGAGCTAGAACAATAAGGAGAGAGGATGGCTTTCAACGGAGCCCCATTCTGCAGCTCACCCCATCGCCCTCCTGCTCCTTTCCTGTTTCACCCAAACAGTATCAGCAAAGCGTCAGTTCACACACGGGGTGAATATGAGAAGTAGTAGGTCTTCGCTGGAGTTCATATAATAACAGCATTTTTAATAATGGGAACTGGCATTTCAGAGCACGGGCCTCGTACCAGGCACTGTTCTACACCTTCTCTGTGTAACTCATTCAGTGGTCACAACCACCCTGTGAGGAAGTTACTATTCAAATCTCCATTTCACAGATGAGGCCCAGAGAGGTGAGGTAATGAAATCACAGCTGCTGGGTCCAGTGTGCCGGGCACCAGCTCATTTGGGACTTGACTATGAGGGGTTTCAGGTACGGGCAGGCTGTAAGGGAGATGATTAGTTAAAGACTGAGGTGGCAGTGTATTTTGGGGTGCGTTCTCCACATCATAGTAAAGTGACTCTATTTCTTGCCAGGAAATCTCAAGTGCTGGTGGAAAGAGGCGTAGCCTCAGTTTTCGGTGTTTCCTTGTCTCTCACCGAACCAGTGAGTGGCACCTTGATGACTTGAGGGACACTCCATAGCATTGTGACTTCTCTCCCCTTGGGGAGCACTCTGGAAAAGAGGTGCTAATTGACAGCTAAGGAATGGCTCTTTTCAGTGAGCTATCTCACGGAGATTCCTTCCTTCCTCAGCGTTTTAGTGGGGATGGATCTGTTTTTTTTTTTAGTTTGCTGGGTTTTTTTGAATATACCTTTTTTTAATTTAAGTGTTGCATTAGTTTCAAGTGTATATATGTATATATTCTTTTTCAGATTCTTTTCCACTGAGGGTTCATGTTGACATTCAGAGTTCTTTTTTTTTTTTTTTTTGTCTGAGTTAGGTGTTCCTTGTGGTGCGCGGGCTTCTCATTGCGGTGGCTTCTCTTGTGGCGGAGCATGGGCTCCAGGTGCGCAGGCTTCAGTAGTTGCGGCTCGCGGGCTCAGTAGTTGTGGCTCACAGGCTCAGTAGTTGTGGCTCACAGGCTCAGTAGTTGTGGCTCATGGGGCTCAGTAGTTGTGGCTCACAGGCTCAGCAGTTGTGGCTCACGGGCTCTAGAGCGTAGGCTCAGTAGTTGTAGCGTATGGGCTTAGTTGCTCTGCAGCATGTGGGAATCTTCCCAGACCAGGGCTCGAACCCGTGTTCCCTGCATCGGCAGCTGGATTCTCAACCACTGAGCCACCAGGGAAGTCCCAATAGTCAGAGTTCTTGTTGGAGAAAAAGAAAAAGAAAAATAAACGGTCTGCAAACCTCACAGTCACCAAAGGTTGGCATGGTTTTAAAGACCAGGAAACCGGAGATTTCTGGGTGGAGGTGCGATGCGGGCAATGTCCTTATTTATTGGAAAGAAACCCTTTTATTTTCTGTTCCTTCTCTTCTGTCTGTGAGGAGCAACATTCAAGAATAGGTCTGTCTCCCTTTGCTCCTTGGCTCCGGTATCAGCTGGAATTTCAGGGGCAGAGCTGTGAACGATGGGTCTAGTTGGGAAACAGAAAACGATTGATTTTAGTTTGCTTTAAACTTTAACACCCATTTAGGTATACAACATTTTAATTTAGGAAAAAAAAAATCTAAAGAATAGACTATAGCAGAGAATTTCAGAAAGCGGAGAGAAAGGGGAGGGGGATGTAGCTCAGCGGTAGAGCGCATGCTTTGCATGTATGAGGCCCCGGGTTCGATCCCCGGCATCTCCACTGTACCGTCCCTGATTTTTTATTTATTTATTTATTTTCCCTCAAATTTCTGCCCCTGTTCATCATACAGACACCATGGACTTGATTATAACGGGTATTACTCCTCCGGTCACTACTTGGAAGTGGGATTTTCACAATAGGTGGGATCTGCCCTTCTTGAAGTCCCTAACACTCCAAATGTAATTTTATTAGAAGAGGCAAAGGGAAGCAGTTACAAGAAACATGTAAAGGCAAAACCTGACACGATGACTGAAACCACGGAAAAAGTGAGAATGATCATTTAGGGAAGGTACCCAAGGCTTCCTGGCATTGTGACTGCAGTCAAAGGCCTGGAGGCCTGGCGACTCATTCCCGGCCATCAGACGGCAAGCGTGGGCGTCATTCAAAGGTCTGAGCGTCCGTGCGGGCCCTTGCCCTTCACTTGTGCTCTCAATGACTCCCTCTGAAAATGAAGCCATTTTCGGAGAGAGCCACCCAGAAGGAAACCAGCAGACACGGCAGGCGGGACCGTGCTTCCCGCTTCCTCAGCGACAGGCCACGTATGAACGCACGAATGGCTGTGGCGCACATACTGTTTAAACCTATGTTTATACACTGTACTTTATCATTAAAAATAAAAGCTATTTTATTAAAAGAAGGGGTCCTGTTGCACTCTGGGTTCGCTGGTTCTTTGCGGAAATAATGAATTCCTCGTCCATCAAATCCTGTCTCTCATTTGATTTGACCTCATGTTTTAAATCATAAAAACATCTCATCTTAGAGCTGGAGGGATCTGACTCTGCACAGTCTTCGTTTTTTGAGATGAAACAGATTCATGAAATGACTCCCAGTTAGGGAGTGGAGTACTGGTGACAGCTTCTCTTTGTAATGAACTTCCATGAAGGTTATTTCTCCCTAAATGTCAACAAGGTTTTAAGAGAACAAAACGTTGAGGTTATCTCTAAAGTTATCAGGCCTCACGTGAAATGAATCATATGATTCTGTTTTACTTTGTATCTTACGCTTAAATATTTCTAATAGCACAATGACAAGGAAAACACCATAAGGAAAAAAGAACAAGGTGTGCTGAGAAATGGAGCTTTCTAGAAAAGATGTCATAAATCTTTGAAAAAAATGTTTTCCAATGATTAGATTTGATTTTACAATTAAAAAAATCAAAATCCATTATATGAGGTACCAAAGGTAGTCACATTCTTGCGACTTCCCGGCGGTCTAGTGGTTAAGCCTCCGCGTTCCCACTGCAGGGGGACCCAGGTTAGATCCTGGTCTAATATCTAAAATTTAAAAACTAGCTAAATTCATAGAAACAGAAAGAATGATGGTTGCCAAGGGCTGGGGGTGAAGGGTTAGTGTTTAACGGGTACAGAGTTTCAGTCTTGCAAGATGAAAAGTGGAGATGGATGGCGGTGGTGGCTGCACGACAGGGTGAAAGTTGAAAGGTAGCAGAACTTGCCCCTGACGTTATTCTGAGCTACCAGCACTTGAAAAACAGCAAATGCAAAGCAAGGCTTTCACTGAACTCCCCTTCTCCGCCCAAAGACAGATCGTTCCAAAGGAACTCCATGGTCCTAGATCCCCTCCCCAGGAGTTTCACCAACCAGGGAAGATTGGCTCTTGACACAGGAGAGACTAAAAGTTGATACCAAACTGTGTCACAAGCTATCATATCTCTATCCATTCTTCTATTCTCCCAGTAAAAATCATTTACTCTCCCTTAAGAGGACTTTCCCTGTTAAGATGGTATTTAAGCCTAAATTCTAAAGTCACATCTTTGAGTGACACATTTTCCCTCCGGGGTATCTCCCATATATTCAAGACGTGTGCATGTTAATAAATTATTGTGCTTTGTTTTGTTTTGTTCCTCTTGTTAATCTGTCTTTCATTACAGGCATCTCAGCTAAGGACTCAGAAGGGTAAAAGGAAAATTATTTTTCCTCCCCTACAATATACTTAACACTGCTGAACTGTCCACTAAAAAATGGTTGAGATGATATATTCTGTGTGCGTTTTGCCACAATTTAAAGACAACAAATTAAAACACAAAACAAAGGCCCAATAAGTTAACTAACTTCTTAACGTTCCTATACTAGGCAAAATTGGGGACTGGAACTTTCTGACTGGGGGGGATGAAATGGGTTCTTTTGAAGCCGGAGCAGTTTGTTTTCTGCCACACAATGCAAATACACAAATGTAAGCAGGAAAAGGAACAGAGCCTCTAGGGCTGCTTCTTCTTCTTCTTTTTTTCCCCCTCTAAGGCGCAGATTCCCTTGACTTCCTTTTATGGTTATGTAACTGATGACAACACAAGGCAAACCTTTCCCATCCAGTTCTCCGATTTCACCCTTTCCCTTAGGAGGAAAATGTTTGCTGGTCGTTGTGCGAACATTCTCATGATGCTGAGTTAAGTCCCATACAAGGTTGTGTGACCTTCAGGAGAGCTGAATCCTTTGGGGGAAGGAGGAAAGGCAGGCGGACAAACAGGCACCAGTCCGACTCCCTGCAGCCCAACACCCAGGCCCTTTGTGAGCTCAGCTCATCACGTGCTCACGCCTGCCCACCAATCCCGCCTTGTTGCTGGGTCGCTGTCACGCTTCCATTGGTGCCAGCTCTGACGCAATCCCTTCTGGGGCGCCTGCAAAGGATGGGTCAGTGGATGAAGGAGCTGAAAATGGATCCAGTGACTCAAGCTGCTTCTAGCACGTTCTAGCACATTGCATTCCAGGTCCGGGGATTTTAGGAGCGCGACTTGATACCCGATTCCTGAATCCAAGTGGGACATTCAGACTTCGGGAGCCCTTCTCAGCAAATAGAAAAGCAGTTGTAACAAGAGCAACAAAAATCCCCTGTACAGCAGGGTTTATCAACCCAATGGATTACTGACATTGGGGACCGGGTAATTCTGTATTATGGGGGACCGTCTACTGAAGGATGTTTAGCAGCGTCCCTGGCCTTTATCACTGGGTGCTAGTGGCATTCCTCACCCCCAATACCACAGTATGACAACCACAAATGTCTCCTGGGAATTCCCTGGCAGTCCAGTGGTTAGGGCTCAGTGCTTTCACTGCTGTGGCCTGGGTTCAATCTCTGGTCAGGGAACTAAGATCCCGCGAGCGGAGAGGGGGCAAAAAAAAAAAAAAAAAAGTCTTCAGACATGGCCAGATGTCCACCGATGGGCCAAATCACTCGTGGTTGAGAACCACTGCTCGAGGTAAACAGCAGCCACCTGTCTTTGGGGCAGTCATTTTTCCCTCCCCTCCCCCTCACCTCAGTGCCCTTGGACAAATGTTTATTTCTATTGTGCTTCAACCGAACCCACAGTTAGACTTAAGTTAGGGACCGCAGAGGTGGTGCAGAGAATTTTTCTGCTAGAGACAACACAGTGTTCTCAGCTCGTAAGAATGTTGTTCTCTCTTTGGAGATAACCCCGGGCCCATTCCCCCCCACCCTCTGAGCCTCTCTTCTCTCTCCTCTCCCCACTCTTTCTCCTTCTTTCCCTCCCTTGCCTCTGAAATCAGGCCTGTTTTTCTCTGTACCTTTTGGACCATGAAAAAAACTATGTCACAAAACTCGTGACTCAGCCTTTAAACAACAGGCATCACAAGGTTTGCAGGAAAGGAACAGCCCAAAGCAAACAGGGTGTGGTTTGAAGCCAGGTCTGGTCACCTGAGAACGTGTCTCAGCTTTTTGTTCCTCTAAAAACTTCTTTCTGAAATTTAGGGAGAAAAAAACTTTATAAAGAGCCTTGATGTTCTGTTCCTTTAAACTCCCTTTCCAAAAATTTAGAAATAACGTTCATGGAAGTCTGTACTGGAAGTCACTGTGAAATGGCAGAAATGTGTCTCGGGGAGGTGGGAGGCTCCGAGGAGCTCCAGTTCTTTATGTCTCAGCTCAGAAAGAATTCAGCGAGAGGCAAAGTGATAGCTAAGGAGGGATTTATTAGACTAGGACGCTTGTGAGGCTTCCAAGCGGGTGGGCGAGAGGGGGCTGCACCTCGAGAACTTAGTGGGCTACAGTTTTAGAATCCAACAAAAAATGGGGAGGGGGAAAAGACCACCTTCTTCCTCATTCTTGAGTAGATGTTAAGCTTCCATCATCAGTTCCTCCGCCATGTCAGGCAGGGGAGTTTTCTTGTCCCTCCATAGTCAAGTCAGGACTGTCATGGCACAGTGGAAATGAGCAAAAAGGTGGTAACATATATTAAAAATGGTAAATCATCTCAGGTTTCAGTATAATGTCACCCACTCCTTATATGTTTGTTTTTAGTATGCCCAGAGGAGCATGTCCTAGGGATCATTAAGTTACTGAGCTCACTGGGCACGATATGGGTCTCCTTCCACCGTTGTTTGTTTCGGGGCATGTCTCATGCTTCTGTTGCATGGGTTTTTTGTTAAGCAAGCCTGCTGGTTCTGTGGTTAAGTAAACCTGCTTTCTTGAGCGAAAGACCCCTTAACTTACATACTTTTTTCTCTACTTACAATCCCCTAGTGGGATTAACTATAATGTTTAATCACCAACTTTGTCTCTTTACTCTGTCCCTGTCAACTGGGGTCTCCTGCTAACCTGAAAAATGACATTTTATTTTTCTTATTCATTCTAATTTCCCAGTAATAAATTCATTCTGAAAAATGTTAAAAATGATAGAGGTTAAAGTCTATTTTGAAATTGCTCAGACCTTTTTCATAAGTGCATACCCTGGTTACCAAAGAAAATATATAGCAGTTTTGTTCTGATTCACGTTTTAAGTATAATGTTTAAATAATATAATGTTCATAATTTCAAGCACGAATGTAGTCTTTTCCTAACGGCAGAACATTTTTTAGTCAGTTGCCCCTTTTTCTCTCTATATATTTTTGAAGGCTTTAAGGGTAAAAATTAAAAACACCCTCCCCTCATTTGTACAAATAGGGAATATTTCTAGAAGAGTCCAGAAAGAACGGTGGCTGGGGAATTGAAGGCATGAGGAAGATTTTCCACTGTAAACTTCAAAAAAATCTGTTGGCATCATGTTCGTATATTTCAAAATACTTGAAAAATCTGCTGGTGAAAGGACATAGAGATCATAAAATAGATTGTCATAAAAAAAGGAAAAAGATCTAACTGACGATCTTTTTCTCTTACCCAAAGGGAATTTGCCTAGGGAATTAAATTTTATATTTGGGATATTAATTTTTTTCCCCCAGGAATAAACAGAACTTAGATTCAATAAGTATCTTCTTAAAATCTCGGGCTTAAATAGGTTTGATTTCTGATTTCTGAGCTCAACTAAATGTCAACAGAATTCAAATTCCAACGCCTCCCTGTTGATAATCAAGCACAAACCAGGAAGGCTGAAGAACAATCTGGAAAGTTCTGTCAGCTTTCAAGTCCAGCGCAAAGAGTTTTACACAGCTATGTGGAATTTCTGCTTTTCTTTTCAAAATTCAATGTAGACCTGCCATAGGCATTTCTCCCTTGGAAACTTAGTTTTCACTCCTGTGTTCTGAGGAATTCCTGAGGCTCCTGACGACCCGTCTGAGGCGGGCTTGAGGCCGCGGCCCTGGGATTTGTCGAGTCATTCGTCTTGTCTAGGTGCCCGCCCGGTGGGGGATGGGCGCGGCCGCCGCAAGTTCGGGGGCTGGACTCCCAGAGTAGGCCTCGCGACGGGCTGAGGATGAGGGGGAAGTTCAGGGCAACAGAAACACTATCCATATCTAAATATGACTCACAATAAACACCCCTCTTTACTCGCGGGGGGTAGGGGCAGGGCGGGGTGTGCGCTGGGGGAGCGGGACCCCGACTCGGTGTGAGGCGCTCGGCCGGAGCCCTGTACGCCTAGGGCGGGCCTCGCGCACGGCGGGTCCCGTCCGGGCCGGGGGGAGGGGGCATCGAGGCCGGGCGGTGGAGACGGCCCGCTCCGGACGTCTGGGCGACTCCACGCCGGGTTTTCAGGCCGCCCGCTCCCCACTCTCCCTCCCCCCAATTCCAGCCCCGGGCAAGTCCGCGGACGCAGCGCTCAACGAGCGCGCTGATCCCTCCGCCAGGCCTCTCGGGACGGCGGCCCGCTCCGCGCCAGATTCGGCCCCAAAGCTCCAGTCTTCACAGGAGAGCATTTTATGAGTGGAATTAGTTGAGCCTGGGGTTTCTCTTCAGAGGGCAGGAGGGCTGCGAAAAGTAGTCCCTTCTCGGCGTTTCTGCGGAAGGATCTATCGGAGCGGCGCTACCTGTAACTATATAAGGAAGCGCCGGCGGGAGCGCTGCGCAAGCAGCTTCGTGAAGTTTGGGAGTCGAGTTGCGGCTTTTCTGCGTTTGTTGCCGTCACCACCTTTTGGTAAGGAGGGGGCCCGGGGGTCTCGCGGCCGCGGGGGGCGCGGGGTGTCGACTTGCCCGCTGCGGCAGAGGGAGCAGCCGAGGCCTTTAGTCACCCGGGGCCGGCTAGCAGCAGGGTAGCCCTGAGAGGGAGGAACGCGGCAAAATGGCGTCCGTTCCCTGTCCCTCGGTGGGAGAAGCCGGACTCCGAAGCGGGCTATGAGGTGGGAGAGAGAAGATGGGGGGCGGGGGAGGGGACTGCGGGTGAAAAGGCAACGCGAGAGGCCCGTGAGGCCTCCGTGGCGGCGGGGCCCAGCTTTTTGGGGAACGGGGTTGGGCGGCGTGTGAGGGAAGCGAACATGAGGTCACGGTTTGACTCGAGCGAGAACTCGGTTTCCCGTCCCGGTAAGGGGACAGTAACTGCCGACGCCACGGAGCCGTCCTGCCCCCGCGGTGGGGGAGGGGACCCGCTCGCCACCGCGGTTCCGAGACGTCATCCCTTCTGTGGGCTCATAATCGAGGGTGGGGCCGCCTGCTGGTCTGTGTGGAGGGAGAGTTCTTCTGGTCTCGGGGCACAGGGTTTGGGCCTGGGGTGGTCGCTGCCGTGTTGGCGGGGACAGCCAGCCAGTGAGGGGGGAGGGTAAGTGAGGCCCGCGAATTGACTGCTTTTCTTTCTTAAGTGCGTGAAACGTTGGTTTTGACCTTATTTGTCAAGCTTTTGAGTTTTTGGGCAGGTTAGTCATTTGGTTAGTATATAGTGACGTATAATTTCGTAGCGTTCGGTATGTGTTGACCTCTGAATTACCTGTTAAACGCTGGGGTTATTTTTTGTGTTAATTTTTTTGTTGCAACAGACAATGCAGATCTTCGTGAAGACCTTGACTGGTAAGACTATCACCCTGGAGGTGGAGCCCAGTGACACCATCGAGAACGTCAAGGGGAAGATCCAAGAAAAAGAGGGCATCCCCCCAGACCAGCAGAGGCTGATCTTTGCCGGGAAACAGCTGGAAGATGGGCGCACCCTGTCTGACTACAACATCCAGAAAGAGTCCACTCTGCACCTGGTCCTTCGCCTCAGAGGTGGGATGCAGATCTTCGTGAAGACCCTGACCGGCAAGACCATCACCCTGGAGGTGGAGCCCAGTGACACCATCGAGAACGTGAAGGCCAAGATCCAGGATAAAGAAGGCATTCCCCCAGACCAGCAGAGGCTGATCTTTGCAGGCAAACAGCTGGAAGATGGCCGCACTCTCTCTGATTACAACATCCAGAAAGAGTCGACCCTGCACCTGGTCCTCCGTCTGAGGGGTGGTATGCAGATCTTCGTGAAGACCCTGACCGGCAAGACCATCACCCTGGAGGTGGAGCCCAGTGACACCATCGAGAACGTGAAGGCCAAGATCCAGGATAAGGAAGGCATCCCCCCTGACCAGCAGAGGCTGATCTTTGCAGGCAAACAGCTGGAAGATGGGCGCACTCTTTCTGATTACAACATCCAGAAAGAGTCGACCCTGCACCTGGTCCTCCGTCTGAGGGGTGGTATGCAGATCTTCGTGAAGACCTTGACTGGCAAGACCATCACCCTGGAGGTGGAGCCCAGTGACACCATCGAGAACGTCAAGGCGAAGATCCAGGACAAGGAGGGCATCCCCCCAGACCAGCAGAGGTTGATCTTTGCCGGGAAACAGCTGGAAGATGGGCGCACCCTGTCTGACTACAACATCCAGAAAGAATCCACTCTGCACCTGGTCCTGCGCTTGAGGGGAGGTGTCTAAGTTCTCCCTTTTAAGCTTTTGACAAATTTCATTGCACTTTCCTTTCAATAAAATTGTTGGCATTCTCAAATAGTGTAATTTATTTCTTTTTAATAAGTGTTTGCAGAAGATTCTTTTTAATTGGGGGTGGGGTGTGAGGGATCAAAGTTTTGGTCTACCAGATGATTCTGTGGTAACCTAGAGGTAAGCAATGTCAGTAAAAGGTGGCCTTAACATAGAACTGTAGTGGGTGAGTATAAATAAAACCCAGACAAGTTGGAGGTTGCAGTTAGAATTTTCCATGTGGATGCTTAGATGTAGATTTACTTGTAAACTACTGACTTTAAAAATACTGAGTTTGGGTGTGGTCCCTGAGAGTGGGAGAGTTTCTGGAATACCAGCAGGGAGGAGCTATTAGAGGGCCGGAGTGGTGGAAGGGAACCTACAGAAAAATCAGTTTTAGTACATAGCTCTGTTTAAATTCACATTGAGCTGCGTAGAAAGTCATTTGACCAGATGTTTTTTAAAAAGGATGTGGCAATGTTTTTTTGAATTTTATGTTTTATACAGCAGGTTCTTACTATCTGTCGTATACATATTAGTGTATATATGTCAATCCCAATTTCCCAATTCATCACACCACCACCCCCTGCCACTTTGCCCTCTTGGTGTCCATAAGTTTGTTCTCTAGGATGTGGCAGTTTAATTTTTACTAAAGTCTCATTAGGCGTTATGCTAGAAAGTTTAGGAGTTAGTAGTTAGAGAAGTAAAGCTATTGTCATAATTTTTGCTAAGATAAAGTTGTCAAGATTCCTTAATTTTCTGTGACTAGGTGAAAGATTTGTATATAGCTAAATTGGTGGGTGAAGCCATTGGCTCTTGGTCTTTTATAGTAGTGACTTACCAGTCAGATGCTACTGGTAAGTGTCTTTGTATGTCATAACTAGAGCCAAAGGTGAAAGTTGCAGGGAAGCTGATTTAATATAAGGAGCTGGCACTGGTTGGTAGGTACCCCAGAAGTCAGAGGCTTATTTGAAGGACTCGAAATAAGGGATTGTTCTCCAAAGAGCATCACTCCCGCTAGCTTCTCCCTTCCTCTCTCCCACTTTTAGGGTATGCATGTGTAACTTCTGATGCAGAGGAAATTCTGTATTACTGCCAGTCCTAAAATACCTGAAGTCAACAGGCTTAAGTCCTCGCTTTAGGGCATCACAACTAGGAAATGCCATTTGAAAAGTTTGTCTTAGGCAAATCTGTTTCTTACTGTGGGTTTTCACTTTATTGACACCAGAGCATGTATAGTTCACTGGATTTCCGTGATTCACCCATGCAAATGAACATACAGGTCGAGAAGCAACATTACAAAAATCCCTGGAACTCCACCAGCACCTGTAACCACGTCCAGTCGCTGTGAGTAGTTTTTGTGTAAGTAAGTTTATTGCTCATTAAAAATAAGTGGTCATAGCATAGGGGTAAAACGTCAATAGCATCTTGAAAATGACAGCCCTGCAGGACAGGCTTTGCAAGGTTCCTAAGGCGGTGTTAGTGATGAGTGCTTTGTCTTCGAGTGTGAGGCGGTCAGTGGCTGGTGATGTTTCAGAATGTGGGGCTGGGTCAGCTCATGGGGGGAACCATGTGTGTGACACGCAGTTAGAAGGATCTTGGCATTAGAGCATAAAGCTGTGTGGGTGTCCTAGGGGTGGGGATGCTCAATGGAGAACTTGCTGAGGAACACTTGGCTCCTTCCTGTCAAGTTTAATGAAAGAAATTGCTAACTACAGGTGTAAACACTAGAAAAGATTTGAAAAACAAAAACACTAAAATCAGTGATGGTACAAACTATATGTAAATATATTAAATATTAAAATATGCATAAGATAGTACAAACATTAAAATCATGATAAAGGAAGTGAAAGTTACACATAAGCTTACTCCCAGGAAAATGAGTATATTTGCCTCTTACTGTATCTAATTACAATGTATACATTGTTTTATAAAGTCAAAGGTAGCCCACCTAAGTTCCTAAGTAGTTAACTAACCATATTCCTTCCCAGTGATAACTAATTTTAAAGTTTGGTATTCCTTTGGGCTTTCTTCCTGTGTAGTAAATACATATAGATGTATACATAAATACAAATAGGACCATTCACAGCATAGTGTTTCTCAGCTTTTTTTTTAAAACTAGGTAATTATGGACATCTTTCCATGCCAGCATATGAGGATCTCCATCATTTTTAATACTCCAGCTAGTATTTCATTGTATAGATGAACTGTGACTTAATTTAACTTGTCCACCAACATTTGATTCTAGGTTTTTGCTGTTACAATCCTGCTGTAAAGTACATCCTTATACACATATCTATCATATACTAATATTTTGAAAGGATAGCATAAAAATACAAGATTTCTATTTAATAAGGCTCTTGGGGATAATTTTAAAAATCAGCCTTAAAACATTTTTATAAATAATGATTACTGTATTTGTTACTGTCTCGTATTTTCCTACTTTTATTTTTTTGAGTAGATAATATGTTCGTGTGTTTCAGACATATAAAAAGTTTAAAACAGTATATAATGAAAAGTTTCAATTTTGTCTCCCAGCCACGTGGTTCTCCACCTCCCCTAGTATGTGCTTTCAGAGTTTCTCTATGCATGTACAAGCGACTGCTAATTATTAATTCCCCTTTATGCAAAAGGTAGCATACTGGCTTGCAGTCTGTCCTGCACCATGCCTTTTCACTTTATGTCTTTTATAGTTTTGACAGAGTTCTAATATCCTTTCATTATAAAGGAAAAATACCTTTCATGTAATTTTCTCAAGAACAAAGACCCCGAGAGCAACACAATCCCTAGTGAACATTTACAGGACCCTTCACCCAACAAATACAAGCATGACAGGAAAAATAGTGATATAGTGATGAACGAGAAGCGTTTCTATCATCAAGGGATTCTGAGGCTGAAGAACAGATGCTAGACTTGCTCAGTTTCGTTGAATGATCTTAAAGGGCCCTAAGTTTGGTTTCACACGTGAGTTAATACTACGTAAGGATTCATTGACATAGATGTGATTGTGTGAATCTTGAATAAATCAGAAGAAAAATGCGTGGCTCATTTGTTTAGTGTTCCTTTTTATGTTTCGTCTGAAAGCACAACGAAGTCCTCGTCAAATTATTATAAATATGGTCCTCAGAGAGGTATGCTGTTTAGAGATTGGCAAGCGCTTGTTAACTCAAGGATGTCAGCCTTAGTGTGCAGTGATATCTCTGCCGGAAGAGGGAGCTACTGGAACAGACTTTGGTTTAGTCATGAAGCCTGCAGCTCCCCCAAGCGGTGTGGCTGACTAGGCAATTTGTGCTTTTACTCTTCTATTTCTCACAGTGGGTTGTTTACTCATTAGTAAAAGTTAATTTACTGTCCTCCCAAATGCCTTTTACTTTATCCTGTTTCTGCCGGTCCTGAAGCCATCTCCATTTTTAAAAAAAATTATTTTTTGGCTGCGTTGGGACTTCGTTGCTGCATGCAGGTTTTTCTCTCGTTGCTGAGAGCAGGGCTACTCTTCATTGAGGTGCGCAGGCTTCTCATTGCGTGGCTTCTCTTGTTGTGGAGCACAGGCTGTAGGCGCACGGGCTTCAGTAGTTGTGACGCACGGGCTTAGTTGCTCCGCGGTATGTGGGATCTTCCCGGACCAGGGATGGAATTCATCCCTGGTTCAATTGCATTGGCAGGTGGATTCTTAACCGCTGTAACACCAGGGAAGCCCCAAGCCATCTCCTTTTCCATTCCAGCTGGAATGACTCCTCCATAGCATCTAACGTAGCTATTATTCAACGTAGGTTCTCTGTTTCTTACAGTATCTCATCAGATCTAACCCCTCAAAATGCCCTTCTCCCTGATTCTCTTATCTGCTGACCACTTTCTTTTTCCCCATATGCTCCCTGACATTTTCTACGTCCTTGTTTCACTCCAGCTGCTCCCTCTTTCTAAAATACCACCTTTCCCCTATGTCTGACTTTAATAAAAACAAGTCTATAGCCTTGGCTGCAGTAAGGAAAGAGCTGGGTTCCTGGGACAGCACAGAGAGGTTATATTGCAGCCCAGAGAAGGCGTGTATAGGATGGCAAGAGGTCACTGGCAGAATTTCCTGAGGCAGGAGTCTGGCTGAGCAGCAAGGGGCTATCAGCACAGATTTGTGGAAAGTGTAAGCATTCCTCAGAAACCCCCAAAAATACCAGGGAAGGGAAACTGGTAAGTGGACTTCCTAGAGGCGGTCACACACAATGCAGAACAGACCGGTCATACGGGCTTTAAAGGAAATGCTGACTCCTCCACACTGGCCCACACAGATGCTGGGTCACAACTCCCTGCCCCCTCCCTGTTGGTCATTCCCCTGGCATAGTCCAACCTGATGGGCTTCACGAGAGTTTTCAAAGGCCCCCGTCCAAATGCTTGAGACTGTAAAAAATACAGTAATTTTTACAAGATTGAATTACAAGATTGTAAGATTGAAAATTACAAGATTGAATTTAAATATTTTAAATTACAAGATTGAAAATTACAAGAAAATTACAAGATTGAATTTAAATATTTTAGAATCTTCAGAAGGTAACACATAAACTGGCACAGACTTCAGTGCTGACATAGGGACTTGTATTTAATGGGGGTACTTTTTAATGCAAAATAGAATATGAAATGCTTTATATTTGGCCGTGGCATCCAAAGTAAAAATGTCTAGAGCCTACATGCGCCTAAAATGGACCTGTGCTTTGCTTTCATTTAAAAAGAAAATTGAAAACAGATTAGACATTTTTTTTTCAAATGTTTCCCTGCCAAAAGAGAATTTTGAACGTTTTTGGAATAAATCATCCCAAGAATGTCAGTATAGCTGATTTATTTTCTGATCCAGGATCCAGTAAAGATTCATGCTTTGCATTGGTTATTATATCTCCTTTATGTTTCTCTCTCTCTCTCTTTTTTGGTTTGGTTGTGAAATGATTCTTTATTTATGTGCTCCTTTATTGAAACACTTCCCTTTCTAGCTTTTAACTAACTGGGCATTGCCTGGCACCACTGTTGATGTCATCTTTCATGTCG